TTGCCAGAGTCTAACGATCCGGATCTTAAGGTTAGACACACCCATGACTTAGAGAGGCTCGGAGAATATATCCGTAGCATATTACCAGATAACACTAAAGGTGTTCAGGTCAAAAAATTAGTTAGAATAGGTAAAAGGGCCGATGACAGTGTTCTACCCCGACCGTGTAGACTCCTTAAGGTAATCTTAGGGTCGGAGAAAAAACGTGATCTTCTGTTAAGTAACGCTCGAAGTCACGACAACTCTGACATTCGAATTAAACAAGATATGTCTCTTGAAGATAGAATAAACAGGAAGACGGCACTAGCTGAACTAGAAACCCGTCGACAAAACGGTGAAGAAAATCTCCGATTGGTGGGTTTGCGAATGGTCAGGTTTTGGAAGCGAATGCTACCAAGGCCTATGTAGTTAGGTCATTCTCCCTAGGAGTTTTATATGCCAACGCCCGTAGTCTAAGACATAAATTCTACGAGCTAGGAGCATTGGTTGACAAATTAAGGCCACTCATTGTAGTTGTGACGGAAACTTGGTTAATCCATGACTTCGATATCACCCCAGAATTATCCGGATATCATTGTTTAAGAAGTGATAGACATAGATGCAGGAAAGGAGGTGGCGTCCTTCTATACATAGCGAATAGTATAAATATCCGCTCCTCCGTCTGCGAATCCCATGATAGTGGAACTAGTGAAGTCATTAGCTGTGAGCTCACTGTCGGATGTTGTACATTTGCACTCGGTGTCATCTATCGCAGCCTAATCTGCTTAGCTGATGACTTTATTTTAGAGCACATTCGGCTATGGAATGCAAATAACAGATGCTTGATATTAGGAGACTTTAATGCACCTGACATTAGTTGGACTGAGATGACCACGAAATGCTCTATAAACTCATTTGATAGCAGGCTCTTGGAAACAGTAATGGAACATGCATTAGTACAGCATGTATCCAAACCTACACGTTTTGGTGTAAACCAAGGTTCTCTGTTGGACTTGGTAATTACCCATGGGACTGAGGATATTTCCAACCTAAATATTCTTCCCCCGTTAGTAAATAGCGATCACGCTGTTTTATCATTCACGTTTAGAGCTAGCGATATGATATACGATCAGATTAGGCCTCGCCCAAACATATGGAGAGCTAACATACCAGCCATTCAAGATTGTGCTACTAAGATAGATTGGTCAGTAAATACTAGCTCATCAGTTGAAGAGGCGTGGTCTGTATTCAAAGGCAAGTTTAGTGCAGTCACGTCCCCGTTCATACCATACTTGGTACCACGTAGACCGAACAATAGTCCACCGTGGATAAATAAAGAAGTTAAGAAACTTCTTAGGCGTAGGAAAAAACACTGGAACATGTTCATCTCTACTGACTTAGAACAGTACAGATCCAGTTATTGTAAGATTAGAAATACTTGTAAAGCGTTAATTAGTAGGACTAGACGGTTATATGAAAAACAATTGGTTAGGGATTGCAAACACAGTCCAAAACGGTTATTCTCGTATATAGAGAGGCGAACTCAAAGAAGTGATGGAATACCATCACTTTTGATACAAAAAAATCCGTTAAGTTTGGCAAGAAATGATACCAAAATAGCCGAAGCTTTTTCGGAATATTTCAGTAAAGTTTTTTCTACCAATAATGAGGAACGATCACCTATTCATTGTGATTGTGGCGACTTGTTGATGGACCCTGCAGTTATTAAGAAAGAAACTGTCTTAAGGCTACTTCAGCATCTCAAACCTGATAAGTCTAGTGGTCCTGATGATATTCATCCTCGGATTATTAAAGCCCTCTCAGATGTTATTGCTGAACCCTTAGCGATACTGTTTGATATGTCCCTGCGGTAGTCCAGATTGCCCAGAGACTGGAAAGACGTAATAATCAGTCCGGTGTATAAGGCTGGGAGTAGGGATTTAGTTAGTAACTATCGACCCCTCAGCTTAACTAGTGCAGTTGTAAAACTAATGGAAAAAATTATTAGGATGGCTGTTATAAACTACGTGGAAAGACATGATCTTTTGTCCAAGGAACAACATGGTTTTCGAAAAGGTCTATCATGTTTGACAAATCTTCTCATTGCAAGAGAAGATTGGGCTGAGGCAAAAGATCGCAATATTCCTGTAGATGTCATTTTCATAGATCTAAGTAAAGCCTTTGATAAGGTTTCCCATTCTGGTCTTAAATTAAAACTGGAAAGTCTTGGAATTCATTATGAAGTCATAGACTGGATAAGTGACTTTCTTCATGGAAGGAGACAACGGGTAAGAGTAAATGGGGCTCTCTCATCGTGGGAACTAGTAAAAAGTGGAGTCCCCCAAGGCATAAGTTTAGGTCCTCTTCTCTTTTTACTTTACATAAATGAATTACCAGCTATAGCTAAGTCCTCCGTCCTAGTATTCGCCGATGACATTAAGATTTGGAGACCCATATACAGCATGTCAGACAGAATAGTTTTACAGGAAGATCTTAATTCATTAGTGGCATGAATGAACGGGTGGTCACTAGAAGTAAACCCTAATAAAAATGTAGTTATGCAATTAAATAACTACGATGATTCGTATCACTACACAATATGTGGAATAGTGTTGCCCAAAGTAAGAAACTATAAAGATTTAGGAGTCATACTAAGTAATGATCTCAAAACAACCAGTCACTGTAAGGCTGCTGCAAAAGGCTATTGTGGGTATTATGGTCTATTCGTAGATCTTTCCGGTATCTGGATGGGGAAATGTTTAGATTATTATACCCAACTTTCGTATGGCCACATTTGGAATATGGAATTCAAGCAGTGAGTCCTTGTTTCAAGTATGAGGCGGATATGTTGGAACGAGTCCAACGCCGCGGGACAAAAATGGTAACAGGCCTATCTGGCCTATCTTATGAAGATAGACTGAGACACCTCAACTTATTTCCGTAATCTTACCGGCGAATACGGGGTGATCTAATATTGGCATATCGTATCCTGAACGATGACCTTGGTACTAACATGTCCTATCTTTTCCTCCCGTCTAGGGCTGGTCATTTGAGAGGACATTCAAAGAAAGTCCAAAAACCGAGATCAAATCGTCTACGTCTGGAGTTTCGTTTCTCGCACCGATTAGTGAATTACTGGAATTCTCTACTAGAACATGTAATATCAGCACCTTCTGTTGATATATTCAAGACGAGATTGAACCTCCACAGTGTAACAAACCGCAAGGATTAAAATAGGTCACTAGACCTCCTATCCTTATTACTGAAGACTGAAGACTACATCACAGAGATGGGCTTTCTATGTTTGTACTTTAAACGAATGAGTAAATTTTAGGCTACGTTGGTTCTTTGTGATGATGAAAATATTGACTATGCAACCACAAATTGTTTAAAGTCTTGTCTCAGAGTAAAAGTTAATATATATATATATCACAGTTACTAGGTAATCACTTGTACCAAAAACAATTTGATATCACTTGTTTCAATGTTTTTTTATTTACCTACATGAAATAAAAAAGCCTGAAAAAATAAAAACAATTTTCTACCAAACAATGAAGATCTCTTGAAAATATCTTTTTACTCTTTAAACTTAAGCTTTGGACTACAGAAAGTGTAACTAAGTATTTAATTAAGCAGTATTTCAACAACAAATTAAATATGATATTAATGTGGGACTAGTGAAAATGATCGTGATTAGCCATTGAGTGTAAATTAACAGACGCAACTTGTTATTTATTTATTCTGTGATTTTCTTTCCTTTAATAACCTCTACCATAGATTCACTGGGTGCGACTGGTTGAAGTTAAGTTAAACGAACTACTGCTACGTTTTTACTCTGGTTATTCACATCTGGTTGTGAATCTTATGTCTAGTATAATACGATTCAGTCTGTGCACAACGTATCAATCGAGTATTCAATTTAATGGTAGCATAATCACGGTCGTTAGTAGTATTACAGCATTACAGCACTATGTAGTGTAAACCAATAAGCAATTTCATCGCCCTGTTATATCAAGCGTTGATTGAGGATGATTTTTGTCTTAAACCGAATATTTTCACCATAGTTTGCGATGTTGAGTAGTTCCTTTGCATATTACAGAACTGAAAATATGATAACATATGCCTTACATCATCTGCCAGCATTTTGAAATATATAAAATATATGACATTGTTTTTTCCTAACGAAAGTTTTGAGATTATATTTTAGATATCACAAAAGGATGAACTTAAATAACTAGTCGTGCTGTATCCAAATGAAATTAAACTGCATATGAGTGACTGATGGTCATGTAAGTGCATACACATGGCGATATTGTGTGTTGGTAACACATATTTAACCCAATAGATGATTTTGTTATTCCTCGTTTCCCAAAATTTTTCACTGTTCAAATAAATCCTTTAAAGTAAATAATAGCATGTCAGCCTTAATCTTAAAATAATAACAAAGAGTGTATGTGAAACTCATAATTTCCTAAGCTATCAGACATTCACTGGTATGAAAATAGAATGCATACATTCTGCAAATCAGTCTTTTATTGTAGTTCTACGCTAAAACAAGTGCCTTACAACTATGTTATGATAAATGGGACAAAAAAGCACAATTCTTGTTATAGTATTGTGGTAAAACATGTACTATAGTTAAATCAAGTTGAAAAGCTATAGCTAAAGCATTCAATTAGTTGAAGGACGCTTAAAAATACTGAAAATTTATCTTGAAAAGAGATCTGAAGCACTCAAAAGGATCCATATGTAATCCGGTTTTGTGCCGTAAAACGAAACCAACAGAAGAAAAACTTTTCACCAGCAAGAGCATGAGTTAGAGAAGTATTTCTCACATAACAATAAACCAGTAATTAACTATTGTTCATGCTCGTAGATAGTAATTATTCCCCACATGAGATAACTGGAATACTAACTTATGATCCTCCAAAACTCAAAAAACTGAGAATCAGTATCCCTGTAACCGTTTAATTAAAAATACCAAAAACATATGTAAGGATATTCCATAAAACAATACCCACCATTTAGTATGTGATTGCTTCGCTCACTACCAGAAAACGAAAACGTAACTGATTTTTTTTCTGAATGGCTTGAAAATCGCCTTTCATGTTTTTGTATGGGTGGTAAATCACTTCGTTTAGAAAGACAAGTTGGAAGATCTATTAAAGTATCTGCTTTGCCTTGATGAAGATGAGAACTGTTCCTGGAAATACTCGCTTCTTCGATTAATGACCTCAAGTTGTCTTCATGATTATCCATCGAGTATCTTTTAATTTTCAGTCATCACATCATCAAAGCAGAAATTAGACAACTTTTCAAAACTTTATCCACTTTCAAGGTCATAACTGAGATAAATTTGTGCAAGCAAACACAAGTAGAGAAATAACAAACAACAATTGCTCAAAGACATCAGCAAGTGCTTCAAAGATAAGAACGAGGATTTTCAGAATGTGGGATCAGGATCTACCGTAACTAGAACACACTAATAATACATTCAATGTACATCTGGACAAATTAAGCATAGTAAAAAGTGTACTGACTGGATAATTTTTTAGTTTCTAAAACGAAGTTCGAAAAAGAGATATTTAACACTTATGGTCGTATCACTACACATTTTGTCTTATTAGTCTCAAAAACGAACTAGAAACCAAAAATATCGAATGATAGTATTTCGGTTTGACCGATTTTTCAAGGTTGTTAGTAGTAGCGTTATGAGGGTGGCATAAACATTTCTCGCATCATACTTCCACTTTACTAACAGTTAAAAGTATTCAAAAGAGTTAAATCAACAGAAACCCCATAGCACACCCACTCTACTTGGGCTTTACCTCACTAGTTCCTATCTAGTAACTAACAAATATTTATAAGTCACAATAATTAACACCTTAACAGGCAGATTTAATTAACAACTGATGGAGACAGTTGCCGCAACTATAGTTTACCTATTGTGAAGCTCTAACTAGCTCATTCAAAACACAGAGAACTAAGACAGGAAAACTGTTGTGAAAATCAAATGCGAAAAAATCGCTATAATAAACGGAAATTAGATATGTATGTAGGATTATGGTCTACTTCGTTATTAGTACTACTCCAATAATAGAACTAATCCTAAAATTGTTGATTTGTTATGATGAAGAACCTAATCTATAAGACATTACGTGGATGTTACCTCGTTGTCTACTCTGACTCGTCCTAACGCAATCGTCGCCAATATATGATGGAAAAATCATTTTGACTGGAGATAAAATTAAAGGAATAAATTGCACTACAATGATTACGCCTGAAAAGCTGATCCATGCCATCCGATGAATTGTATTGAATTCTTCTCGCCTTCTGCACTGTTAGTCTTTCGTCCACGTTAAATGTTGAATAACCATCTTCCCATTTGTCTCGTGTTCAGTTTTGAGGATTGTGTGGTTAGGGCCCGATGCTACCACATGTACACCGATGCACTTTATAAGCGCTAATCAAGATACTCTTCAGTAATATTCTTGAAATCGTTGAATGAAGTCTAGACACTTGCTAACGTCGTTGGAATGACCTATAGTGTACATAATTCGTGACGGCAGTTACCGTGACTTGCCGAAGAGAAGTTAATTCACTTACTCGCATTAAGGCATATATGTAGCACAAAATGTTCTGAACCTTGACCTTGAATCCCATCACAAAAAGTAATCACATCAGGAAATCACTTATTTTTTAGTCAAGTCACATCACTGCATCCCAGTCCAAAACACGACACATTTTCCTGGGTACCTTAACACCAAGATTATTACAGTGATTACCTGTACCATCAGTCATTAAAAAAAACCATAGTTCCTGATCGTTTGCCCAAGTTAATACATGGATTAAGGGGAAATCGCGTAACCTAGTGGTTGATGACAACTAGCATAATCAGACGTCACTGCTGGCCGCACTACTACTTTCCGGAATATCTGAAAGACTGCAAACTGTTCCCGCTGCAACTAAGTAAATACGGCGATGAGCTCCACATTTTATAACGGATGACCTCAGTTTTATTCACCATGAAGATTAAGTACTGCAAGATCTTTCCAAATGAGACAACTGGTGCATAGATATTTCCTACTTAAACAAAAATATGACAGTAGGGAATGGTGTTTTTCATGGTGAAATGATTAGAGAAATTTTCTGATCACGACTTACACAGACTGTTTCTTGAAGTAGATTTGGACTAGGTCCTTTAGATCAATTACTAATATAGGTGAAAAACTTTAGATGACGTTAGGAACATCAACACGGATATTTTTCAAACTAAAATGATGATAGTACAAAGAAACTGATATGCGGAGGTGCAGTTTGTTTCAGGGCGGCCAATCAAGAATGACAAGAATTCCAAGCACCGAATTAAAAAATGGCAACCCATGTATGCTGTATATTCAATATGCCAGTTTCATTTTATTGAATGTCTATCACTTTACTGAAATAATTCCAGTCTCCAGGCACAACTGTAGGACTGGTGAAATTTCACTGAGCCCTAGCCAAACCATTTATCGGAAATATCACTGGGTGTTAAATAGTTTTCAGAACGTTATCAAGATCAAGAACAACCAACACGGGCCAATCACTTGCACTCCACAGATTGACGTACCCAGAATTTATCTAACCAAATACCTCTCTGGTCATTGATGTATTTCTTCAGTCAAATAATGTTTATTATACACGGTCACCAATTAAGCCGCTTCGACTTGATACATTGTGCAACACCACCACTGTCCAAATCGAGCAGACTCCAAATACGTCGCCCAAACTAATGATTCACACTGACTTGGATGTGATGAGTAAGAATGTATCCTTGAGATACGAGCTCCAAACTGCATATTCTAACTTTCAGTGTGACGGCAATAGAATGTTAATTGTAATAACCAAGTAATGTTCATGGACAGGGAATAATGCTACGTGCAGTTACATATGTGGACAAATATATAAGACGGGCGTAACCCTCATTAGTTGGTTAAAAATGAGATCTCCAAAATTAGATGAATGTATCGGAAGCCAATGCTTCCGAGACCTGTATGAGTAAAACCCATGACTCCCAAAACACCTCAGATGTGTGCTACACGAATGTTCGTAGTTCAAACTAAGGTTGATGGTGGATTAATGAAATCCCGATATAATTGTTTTCACAGAAACTTGGCTCGCTGTAGATATCAACTGTTCTCCCATCATGGTGGACTACATCTGTACTAAAAGTGATAGAGTTATAAGTTGCAGAGGAGGAGGCATAATGTTATGTGTTAGGGACCACTTTCGCATAAAATCATTCATATCAGAGGCGCATGATAGTCGTACATGTGAGGTAACAAGTTGCACAATTAAGTGTGGAAACGGATTATTGACTATGGGGAAAATATATCGTAGTCCGTGTTGTCTTGCCAACGACTTTATCATAAGACACATCTGTTGTTAGAGTAAGGCATAATGTTGTCTCATCATTGGAGACTTCTGCGCAACACATAGTAGCTGGACTTGGAACATGACCCATCATTGCTGGACCTTGTCCTCACAAACCACTGCGAGGATGTCATCGACATTCAGCACCTTCCACCGTTAGGGAATAGTGATAATGTTATGCTTTCCTTTAAGTTAGGGACATATGGTATACAGTTTGTATCTGCTCCATCCCGTCTCAATATCTGGAGAGTAATATTCCAGCAACCAGAGACTGTGCTATCTTCATTGATGCTGATGGATCGATCGAAGGCGAATGGAATAAGTTTAAGGCTGCATTCGAATCCGTAACATCACCGTTTATCCCATGGTCAATACGTAGGCTGTCACATCGCCCTCCACGGATTAGCAAGGGAACCCATAAGTTGTTGAAGCGTAGGAAACACTTCTGGGACTTATTCCTGTCAACAGGACAGGCATCATTTAAGTGCGAATATAAAAAAATCCGGAATATATGTAAAAAGATTACAGCTAAATTTTATACCATTTACGAACGATGGTTGGCATATGATAGCCGTGCTTTTTCGGAGCGATTACTTCCGTACATTAACCGGCAAATAAAACGTAGTGGTTGTATTCCCGCGGTACCGTTACATGAAAATCCAGGTTTACTAGGTGCATCAAATCGGCATAAAGCTGAGACTTTCTCAAACTATTTTATGGAAGTCTACTCTACGTGTAGTGTTACAACTACTTGTCCTAATTACACGAGATACAAACCGTAGGATCTGTACGTGTATCTGAGGAAATTGTTCTTTCATTTATCACTAACCTCAAGACTTTTAAGATCCAAGGCCCCTAAGGCATCCTCTCAGGTCCCCCACTTTCCCATTTCTACGTCAATGAATTACCGCTATTGCTTAAGTTATCGACATTGTTGTTTGCGGCTGATGTCCAAATGTGGAGAACAATACGAAGTGATGCTGATCTTTTTCATTTCTAAGCTGACTTGGACGAATTAATTAGATAAGTTCGTGGTTGGAGCTCAGAAGTTAATTCCAGGAAGAGAGTGCTCATTCACATCAGATACTGTAATAGTTACCATTAAACTCTTGATGGTACATCTCTTCCACGCATTCAAGAATATATAGATTAGGAGTAATAATAAATCATGACTTGAAAACAACCGCGCACTGCAACGCAGCTGCTTCAAAGGCTGGTCACTTTGCCGAGCACTCAAATGCTTTGATGAGATGTTTCAAATTTTACATCACACCTTCATATAACCACAATTAGAATACTGCATTCAAGCAGCTAGTCCATGTCTGACAAAAGATACTAACTCATTTGAGAGTGTCCACCTTGTGTGGACAAAATTAATGAGGGGTCTTTCTAAATTCCCTTACGATGAGCGTTTGAAACGTCTAAACTTATTCCTCCTGTATTGTGAGGTCGCCTACTGACCTTATATTTGCATTTCATATATTTAACTATGATTTAGGTGTTAATATGTCTTGTTTTGTTCCATTCAACCCTAATAAGGTTCACAAACCGCGATATAATAAACTACGGGTGGAGTCCCGTATTTCTCATCGAGTGTTCAATACTCGGAACGCCTTACCTTGAAGATACAACAGGTACCCAGAGTTTGATTATGAGGATTTGTTTACCCCTAAAACCTGAACAAATGGTATCAGACTCATCTGTGAAGATTTTCATGAAGGAGATGAAATTTTAATGGAAATCAAACTGTTAGGATTAACACAGATCCAGTAGCCTGCTAACTTTGTTACTGAAGACGATTGTGTATCAAACCCTCTCTGATTGACTGGCTCACTTCATATCTAGAAAACCGACATTTTAAGGTTAGGGTTAACTTCGCTCTCTCTCAGGCTATGGAATGTCCCAGTGGGGTCCTCCAGGGCTAAATACTAGGACCTCTTCTCTTCTTGATTTACATTAACGATCTTCCTCAACAAGTTTCATCTGACTTATTG